AGAAGCTGATCGTGATCCGGCAGTGTGCGCTTGCAGCCCAGAAAGCCAGCCGTGTCCTGGGCTGCATCAAAAGAAGCATTATCATCAGGTTAAAGGAAGTGATTCTCCCCCTCTGCTCTGCTCTTGTGAGACCACACCTGGAGTACAGTGTTCAGGTGTGGGGCCCCCAACATAAAAAAGACATGGACCTGTTGGAAAGAGTCCAGAAGAGAGCCACAAAATTAATCAGAGGGCTGGAGCACCTCCCATATGAGGACAGGCTGAGAGAATTGGGTTTGTTCAGCCTGGAGAAGAGAAGGCTCCGAAGAGACCTTATAGCAGCCTTCCAGTACCTGAAGGGGGCCTACGGGAGAGATGGGGAGGAGCTCTTTATCAGGGAGTGTAGTGATAGAACAAGGGGTAATGGGTATAAGCTGAAAGAGGGTAGATTTAGACTAGACATTAGGAAGAAATTTTTCACTGTGAGGGTGGTGAGACACTGGAACAGGTTGCCCAGGGAAGTTGTGGATGCCCCATCCCTGGAGGTGTTCAAGGCCAGGCTGGATGAGGCTTTGAGCAACCTGGGCTAGTGGAGGGTGTCCCTGCCCATGGCAGGGGGGTGGGAACTCGATGATCTTTAAGGTCCTTTCCAACCCAAACCATTCTATGATACACAGACTTCTGCATATATTTCAACTATGTTATTTTTTATAAACATTTACTTTTTCAAGGCCTAAGCAAACACCTAATGTTATGAACTCTGTAAATATGCATTTCTTTAGTGTATTTCACATTACTTACTGTCCTTTCCCTGTGCATTTTCACATGAATAAACTGGGCAGGAGAAGCCATCCCAGACTATTTAGTATTTCTTTCTTATGTCAAATGTAATCTTGCCACTTGGTAACAACCCTTCTGCAGAAGTGTTTGTTTTTTCAGTTACAATCAAGATTAAAATGTACCTCTCAACTTCTGTAAGAATGAACTCCATGCAAGAGAAATACAATCTTACTCTCTTGTCCTTCAGTCCTATTATTATGCAAACACTCCTGGAGAAGAGTAAATCCCCTTCAAAAGGACACTGGAATCCTTGAAATTTCCACCAAAGCTATATGTTCTGATGTTGACTGTTGTGCAGCATAAGCACACTTGGGTCACTGTGTAATATTTGGGTTCTTTAATCCAGATCCCATGGACAGTAACAAGCTAAAGTTAAACAGCAAATGCCACAATGCTGAGTGAGCGCTAGTGTCTTGCTGCTGGCTTCAGCCACAACTAGAACACAGCTTTGCTGGTGGGGGAATATGTTGGATTGAGATTAGTGTGTTGAGATTTCAACTTGAAACCTCAGGACTCCATGTGGTACTTGCATTGCTTTTGCTGAAGTACTTGAAATAAAGCATATGGTTTAAGTTGTTTGTTATTCCTTTTCTCCCTTACTTTGTTTTAAACCATGTCCAAGTAACATAGCACATACCTGTTTAACTCTTAGGCTCCGCCGTTCTGTGGCATTTCTCACAAAGAGAGACTTTTTGGCTAGTGTTGAGCTGTCACTGTCACTTCGATTCAACTGTCAAAATGTACATAACAAACAGAGATATAAAACACCTTCATAAACAAATACATCTGTATTGATATAACAAGTCAGAAAACCTCTGTGTTGATATACATGTAGGTCATTCTTAGTATAAAGTAAACATTTTTTCAACTAGACTAAGTGTCTACTCTAAAATTCTATTCCTAAACCAAGATAGCCATTGATCTTACTGAATGAATAGTAAGTAGACTCTTTAGGAATGCAAGGAAGGTAACCATCATTATTAAGTATTGCCAAATCACTGTCTGGCTTTTATATGACTGCAGATTCGAAACTATGGATTTCATTAACCTGGGGCAGGCTTTTAACAAATTTACTACAGTGAAGGTAAATTACTGTAGACGCACACCTGTCCAACAAACAGTATTTCTGTAGTATTATTATTTGTAACAAGTTTAGGTGTGCCTACAGCTTCCTTCAGAAGCACCTCCCGCTTCTCGAAGATACGTACCACAGCTCAGCAGTAGTTTCTTCTTAATTATAGTATTAGTTCCACCTACATCAGTGCAGATGCATCAGTACCAGCATGTGTGGTAGTAATCTTCAAAGAAAACAGAAGCATCTATCTCCAGGATATTTATTTCACCTCTTCACAAAAGGACAGACAAAAAGAATCATTGTGCTAACACTTCAATAACCAAAGCCAGAGGCCTAAAGCATGCTTACAGAGGACTAACTGGGAGCTGCGGGTGAGAAATACATCTTGCAATATGAGCATACCTCTGGAGATAAATCTGTCTTTCCAACATGGAGCCACTGCTGGGTGCTCACCCCTGGATAAGCACAGGTGGCTACCATCACTGATGCCCTTAAGGACTTTTCCAGGAATATTTTCAAAGGTACCAAGAGACTTTGTGTCTTTCCTTTAGGTCTCAAATATCTTTGTGTTTGCTGTAATATCATATGAGAGTAGGTGCTTTCTTAAAGCTAGGCCATCTCTTCTGAAAAGAGAGCAGCTAGCAGCTATCCAGACCGTATCCAACAGATACTTTCCTCTAGCATGGCACCACAAAGTAAGAAAGGCTGGATATGCTTGTGCTGCAAGCTGGTGACTAAGACTGGGGAGACCCAAGTTGTTCAGTTCTCTCCATGGACTCTGATGCAGCTATGGTGCCCACTCTTGAGCCCTGACAGTGGACTATAAGTATTTCTGAAGCTGCAAAAGATTCATCTGTGCAAACAGGAGTTCCTCCTAGGCTACTTTGCTCCCAGGCAATACTGTACACAAAGAGAAAGAGAATGGTTTCATTCAAGGTATGATTTTTTAGATTCTGGCTTCTGGCAGCACGTACGTAGCAATGTTCAAAGCTACAAAAGCTCAGTACTCTTCCAGATGCAAAAAACCTCAGTTTATACTAAAATATCAGAGCAACTAGTGTTACTTGCTGTTGAAGACCTCCATAGGCCGTAAGCTAAGGCTACTTTTTTTTGCCAATACAACTAATTTCCAGTGTTCAGGAATGAAGATGAAGGCTAGGTTCTGAATTTAGCCAATAATCTATCCAAATTACATAAAGATTGTTACAAAATGATCTGCTGTGTTTCATTCTGGAGAGTATATGCAAGTTATTTACGTATGTAGATACTGTTTTTTTAAGCCAATGATAATCACAGAGAAATGATCAACTTTAATGCTCCCAAATGATTAAGGCAACTACCTTTAACCAAACTGAAGAAGAATAAAAGCACAGGTTGTTTGGTTTTTTTTTAAAGTCATATTAGTGTGAGTCTAAAGATCAAAAATATACTGCCTTTTCTAGGATGTCTGTATTTAAAATGTATAGAGCTGGTAATCCATGCCTAAATTTTTAAACACATGGTTTTCACACTTAGTGTAGCAGCAACAGGGCTGATAAATTAATATTTTTTTTTCCCATGCTACCATAGATCTAGAGAGTTAAGACAAATTTGTTGCCAAAGCCTTGTTTAAAACTCAGCCCCTAGGCAGCGCTCACACATCTTTCAAATATGTAATTACAGCAGGATTTGGGCTGCTCAGGTTTAAAAGTAGTTGAGATACGAAGTGAGATTTAAAACTGATGACTGAGCTCTTTCTGTGCTGTTACCCTTAAATGGTTACATTATTAAAATATGGTAATACAATGGCAGTTTACAGTGAACTCTATGTTTTAACAAATTATTTTGCTGTGAGAGCTGTAGTTGCTGATGTGCAGTGAAACATTTTTGCAGACAGTCAGCACAGGAATCTGTGTTACTTCTCTCCAATAGGATGTATTTTTGCCCTAGTAAAGGTGTTTAGCAAGAGTGTGCAACTCTCCTGAAATTCAATTGTACTATGCATCAGGTCAGGTAGGGACAGAAAGAACCGAGAGAAAGCACAGGCTCTGCCTCTTGCAGGGAAAATTGGTACATGACTCACTGTCATTAATGCATCATTCCAAAGAAGCTAAATGACTCTTTAGTTAATAGCTTTTCATTCCAAGTGTTTTTCCCCTTACCCTACAGATGTATTGGTTCCGCTCGCCTGGAGAGAAGGTTTGTGAGCGCACTATCATGCTGTTCCTGACAAAAGGACGCTGTCTTGAGCTCCAGCTGGCTCTGTCCTTGGGTCGGACTGTTGCGGTCTCGTTAACTGATTCCTCAGTGTTAGTCTCTTTATCAACCTATGAAAAACAATTTAGTTTCTAAGAACTACTATATCCAGACACATGCCACTACATAGTTTCTGTGCCTTTGGATTTACAAGCATTCTCGTTACCTTGCAAAGGAGGGAAAAAGAACAGCAGCAAAAAGCATCTTGCACATACAGAGAAGCTACGCTATGTAAAGAAACAAAATTCCCAAAATGCTTAACAGTGTGTGTGGAGTCTTCAAACGTACTCTGTGTATTCAGTAAAGTCTAAACTTTTGCAGAAAGGCCTTTGCTGCCCTGCAGATGGTCTGATGCAACTATGGTACAATTAATGTTTTGCTTTGCCATTTGCAGGCATTGTTATTATGATTATTGTACATTTATATTTATTTTGTTCTGCATTTGCAGAACAGCAAAGTTCTGCCATGCTAGGGATGGTGCCTGTGCACATTGACAGGGGCATCTGGGAAGGTTACATTGCCCAGGTTCTTCCAGACCTACCGTCGTCTATCTTCCAAGCCCCAGCAGCAGGGCTTCTTTATGGCGATCTGCAGAGCTGCACCAGCCTGGTGAAGCCAGGGAAGACACTGCTAGCTGCTGTCCCTCAGAAGGGCCTGCTGCCTACTACGGTTGCCCTGCACATGCCACAGGGAGCCTTAGGTGCCAGCATCCCCATAGGTGGCACAGCCTATGCTTACATCCAGCAATCATCTTGACAGCTTGGCTAGAACAAGCTGCAGCAGCTGGCATATCCAACGTTACTGATGTGCACTGGGGCATTTTCTTCAACTTGGTTAACCTAATGAGCTTCATGTATTTCAATGTGCAGGTGATAAATACAATGACCTAAATAGCGCAACTTCAACCCTGAGAGGATCTGGCACATGAAGATCTATACTGTCACCGGCTTTACAATCAGGGCTGCTCTGTCATTCACCTGCTCTCCAGGTCGGTCCAGCCCAGGCTTAGCAAAATACTTGGGTGCGTGCCTAACGTTCAGATGTTGTCCTTGATGTTTCCCCTTCCTGAGTCAGGGCTTTAATCTCTATTTGCTTGCTGCCCAGCAGACTGTCAGTCCTTTTATACCATGGCCTTAGCTCATTTGGCATCTTGCCACATTAATTGGAAGTTAATTACAGTTTCCAGCAAGTCCACCGAGGTGCTGAACTTTTGTATTTCACAAACCTGAGGGAACAAGATGTCAATTCTTTGCCTTTTTACCTTTGCTGTTGTATAGAACCTGTAGGTTTAATGCATGCAACGGTGTTTTTATTAAGATGCAGAAAGGTGTTCTATAAATTTTCTTTCTAGAGTATGTGCTACCACATCGGGGATGTGTTTACTAAAAATTTTCTAAAACTACTTTCAGAAAGGTGGAATGTAATTTAAAGTGAACAGTTAACAAGAACATGGAATTACAATTTGTTATGTGCAGTGTGAGTAGTTCAATATTACCCAGTTTGATACACATTTTGGAATTTTCTGTTCATTAATTTTTCCTCCTCTTCTTTACTAAGCCAGCTTTTTGTATTTCACACCCTAAAATAAAGAAGAAATAAGGAAATCCCCTCATTTGTTTAAAGATCTTGATCCCTGTTCTGTCTTTCCCCTTGTTTATCAGATGAATCAGGAAAAAACAGGAAACAATGAAACAGACATGCAAAAATATTTTAAATACGCACAAGTTGAATCTACTGAACTGCACTTGTATTTTGAATATTCTCCCTATGCAACGAAAAAAGTGAAGACATTTTCAGTTAATTGCCTTCGACAGACATTCTGCCTAGCATATCTGTTAAATGCCCTCTTCATAGTTCAGAAGTGAACACACCTATTTTCTTAGAAGTACATACTGACAAGTGCTACAGCAAAGACCGCATCAAATTGTAAATGTTCAGATGGAGCAGACTTCTACATTAACTGCTCAGAAATAGATCTTCAGACACAGTTAAGATCGCATAGGAATGCGTATTTTAATATATTCACCAGTGTTAGCATTACAGGAGCTTGCTGGCTTTCATGGGCCTCATCACTGTTCTCTCTGTCCTTGTCTTCATCTGTTTCTGGTGCATCAATGAGTAACTCCACATCATCAGTACAGTTGCCTTCTACTGCCACCTTAATGCCATCTTCCTCTTCATCCACAATTTCATCAGAGGCTTCTGTGAGCATTTCTAACCTGTATGAACATAAGCAGCCCAGGCTTATTCTCAAACTAAAAAAGCTCACTAGAAAAACGTATCAGAAGGCCTAGGCCTTCACCCATATATAATGTACACATTTTCCTGACAGGGAAAATGAGTATTGCCAAATACTTCCATTAAGTTCACGTGAAGGCACATTTCATTATATGCTCCAATAAAACCCAGCAAGCTCTGCTACAGTTCGTCTTCAAGATCATTATGGCAACACTGCACTACACTCAATAGCTGTATGTTGATAACATGGAAGGACTTTGGTTGCAATAAATTCATAAAACAAATGAGCGAGTCTCCCCCTCCCCCACAATAAAGCATGTGTTTCTACACTGCAGCTAAGAAATTGCACAGGAACAGAACTCATCATAGCAATTTAGCAAGAAATCTGTTCTTGGGAAAGCTCACAATCTCTCCAAAAATAAGACCATCCATGGAAGCACACACACACACTGAGACTTTGCCAGACAGCAGCTCTCTTTTCAAATCCTATTTGTTGCTTATTATAGTGAATGCACCTAATATTTGATATGAGACTTTCTAGTACGCCTCCAGTGGCTTAGACTCCCCAAGTGGTTTTACAGGAAGATGTACGTAAAATGCAGGAGAATCAGCAGTAGGAGTTAACAGAGCAGCCAAGACACCGTAAACCTAAAAGAAGGTGAATGAATTGACCACACAAGGGAATGAGACTTTGCCCCAATTCCAGTGGTGTGAGACACTGCAACAGATTGCCCAGAGAAGTTGTGGATGCCCCATAATTGAAAGTGTTCAAGGTCAGGTTGGACAGGGCTTTAACAAACTGATCTAGTTGAAGACGTCCCTGCTCATGGCAGAGGGGCTGGACTTGATAATCTTTAAAGGTCCGTTCCACCCAAAACCACTCTATGATTCTATGGTCTCCTCCAAAAGTATAGCCCTTTTATTTGTCTAAGAATGAGTGGAACAATTCAGGCATGAACAGTGAGGGAGGAAAAGTGGCTTTACCAGTCTTCCTCAGAGCCCCTTTGCTCATGTTCCTCCTCCTCGTCGCCGTCAGCCAGCTCTTGTTCTACTGCTTCCAGCTCAGCAGATGTCTTCTCCAGCAGAGCTGACACAGCATCCTGCTCACAAGGAAAGATGAAACCAGAATTGAGTGATACATAATATAGGTAAAAACAACAACTCTTGCAAGAGTTACATTACCCTGCTGCTCCCTGATGCCAGCAAAAACATGACTCAGATCACAAGTGTAAGGGGTTTGAATTGTTGCTGTGGAGCAAATGAACTGATTGTTTTTATACAGAGTAAATCTCAATCAAAACCAGATTGTTTGTAAAACAAAAATACAATCGGATATGCTCCTGTCATCCTTTAATGTCTCATCTCCCCTCTCAGACCTGTAATATCCCTAGGTAAAAAAAAAGGTTGTTATTAAAAATTACATTTTTAGTGTAGTTCTCTTAAGGAGGCATTTAAAGCAAGAAAGCTTATTTAACCGGAAAATTTTTATGTGTTTTGCATAAACGGCATTTCCAGTGCAATGGCTTTAAGTATTCAAATTAAAATAATAAATATTAATTTTTAATATGTGCCTATGAAAAATCAATGGTAAACTTAAGGAAGATCTTCAATATTTTTAAAATGAAACATAGCTGAAGCATTTCAAACTTCAGTGCAATTTTGTATCCCACTAAGACCCACCAGCCCTATCCACACTGGCAACAAGTCTGAAACTCCACATAGGACCTACTCACACACAAAGTCACTACAGACAGAAGTGCCTGCTAGACAGCAGGGCCTTGGTCCTTCAGGGGAGGACAATTCACTTATTCAAATAACTCCAGAGCAATGGCACAGTTGGAGTCTATGGCTTTTTTCTTGCTATTACAGTAATAGCCAACACGTTGCTCACCAAGTCCAATGAGTCCAATGACTGCTTGCTTAACAGAAACATGGATTCTTCATTTTGTTCCCTGTTTTTTTTGCCAGGAATTTGCTTGCAAGGCAACAGGTTGTACCACAGAGTACAAGTCTCATCAGAAAATGATAAATCTGCCAGACTGATCTGAGTCCCAGCCTGCAAAAAATAAGAAAGGGGAAGAAAACTGTTTGAATTTATTTCCTGCAAAGCAGCTGAAAATAAATTCTACAGTATTTATCATGTAAAAAAGGCAGCACAAATTTGACATGAATCTTAATTCCTTTTTTAACTGTACAGTTTTCTGTTTTCCTCCACTTCTAGTTAAAATAAACAAATGAAAGTACATGGAAAGATCTGCATATTGTCCATTCTGCCATCTTTCATTTCAGTCTGTGGAATTTCTCCCCACGTGCACACACACACAAAGCCCTCTGTATCACTGTAACGCACACATCTGCTTTCTGTAGCATACAATGATGACAAACTGTGTCAATGAAACCTGCAGCATCAACTCATGGAGCAGCAAGTTTCAGTCAATTTTTCAGTTGTTCCACCACAAAAATCATCAATATGGCATACAATAACGGATGACCTTGTTTCCTCTAAGCAGTGAAGAAGCGGATGAAAAGACAGTAAAAGAGATTAAGAAACCCTTTCATTTGGACAAGCACTGACATCCACTGGGCTGGCACTCTGGGAAAACTTACGAAGTACTCATGTCTGGGCTGTGCCTTGGAGATTAAAATCCTCTGTTCTTTAGGAAAGAACAGCTACTGGGCTGCATACACAGCTCTTGCCAAGACTCTGGTCATGTTGCCCAGGGCTTTCCACTGGGAGTGGTACTCCCAGCTCTTTCTTTTGATCTTGTAATTAATCCTTATGTCTTTGGTGGGGTTTTGTTGTTGGTGGCGGTTTTTTTTCCTTTACCTTTGTATCCTACCTTCTGTTGTATTTTTGTTCTGCTGCCCCTCTCTTACCTGAGGGGAAACCTCTTTGATATTGAAAAAAGACCAAGACATTCCCCAGGAATTGTTAACTTCTACATTTCTGAAAGCGAGATGCTGTTCCCAGTAGTCAGGGCTAATGGATCCCACCAGATTCCAGCATCTCTTCAGTGTGTTGTAACTAAAAATCTTGCTGTGCTAAGTCAGACCCATGGCAAAAAACTAAAATGAGCTGTAGCAGACCATGCAAAAGCAATCTGAAGGTAAATGAAGCATCACTAATTAGATGATGACCACAATTAATAAAATTTTAAAAGTGCCAGTTTCCAAAAGGCTGGTCCATGAATGCCATGCCTTTTTATTATTCCTACAAATCGTAAAGACTAAAAAGGTGTACATTATGTCATCCACAACAACATGTAAAAGTGTAATTTAGTTTGTTCTTTGTGACAAGTTGTGATAATGAGGGTTTGCTTTTGTTTCAACATACTGTGGCTCTTACTCAGCTTTTGCTTTAAAATCTAGTGTTAATGCTGTAATGAAGTTTATGGGGTTTTTTAATGTATGAAACTGCAAAAACACAGTATCAATCTGTAATTAGTGTGTTAGAATTATCAAAACCCCTCCTAAAACTTCCATCCAGGATTAGATTCAATATCAGAAATTTCAGCGAAAGGTAGTATTTTAAGTACTATAGCAACAACTAAGTCATGCTTCAGAATTTGTCTCCAAGTACTGTGGAATTCTAGCAGCCTTGACCATCAAAATAAGAGGGGACACTACAAACAAATGCATGCCAAAAAAAAGCCAGAAATAAAACTGCATACCAAGCATTCTTCCCGACGACTTCTACTGACAGCACAAACATCTACTCTCAGCGTCTTCTGTATCAGTGTTACTTGGGAAATGGCTACTCTGAATATCTCGTTGAATGAAATGGTTTCCATGGCAGGATGAACTTTTGTGCGGAACAGAGAGCTGATATCAGTTGAGGATGGAAGTACTGCTACTCTAATATACCTGCCGGAAACAAAACAAAATCTTTACCTGTATTTAAACTAGCACTTGCTGCTGATGCATGATAGAAGTTGACCCCATCGACTAAAGGACTGCATGGCAAGAAAAATGGAGCAACAAATCAGAGGTGGAATTGAAAGAGGTAAAAAAGAGGAGTGAGAAACTCCTCCTGCCCCTTGCACAAACATTTCCCAAAAAGGAACTTTTCTGCCTGGTAAGGTAGTAGCAAGAGGGGTAGCTAGTTCTGTCTCTATCCAAATTTGTCCTCTGGTTTAGTACTGTGAACACTGAAGATCATGTCACAGATGGGAGGAAATATGATCTCAATGTTAATTTTAAAAAGTTAGAAAAATTTGGGTGGATGTAAAAATTAAACTCTTGGAACAATGTAAGCAGCACTGAAAAACAGTGATCTTTTAATCTCTTAAAGAAGCAAAACAAAACCTCCAAAGAAACCAGGAAACTAAGGAAAATGAGGAAGAAAATAGCTAGCACCAGAGCTGCTTAAGATAAATTCATAGAGTATTAAGTGAGACTTAGAATAATGCATCTTGCAAGACTGAACTTAAGCACAGGGAATAACTGTGAATTGTTACACAGCTGCATTCTTTTTATAGAACAGATATGAATGGATAGTATGTGAATAAAGGTAATGCTAGCTAACTTGCAGGTCTCGCTTTAATAGTAGCTTGATAAAGACATTCCTAATGCAATCTGTGTATGTTATTTACCTGTTGCACAACTTCTCTTGTACGTCAATGAGCATAGTAATTGTTTAGCATCTTTTCTGTGCCTCTGCATTAGCCTATTTCTGGTATTAGCTTTAAATATAATTGACACTCACTGCAGAACAGAATGCAGCAAGGCTAGGTAAAGCAAGAAGTGGGCCAAGGGACATTATTCTAGAAAAAAACTTATTCTCCCAAAATTGATAGTACTGTTGCTATATTTTCTAGTTATGACTTTGTACATACTGTTAGTATTATTAAAAATTTACTTTTACATTAATTAAATCAAAAGAAATTAGGTCTATGAAATATTTTATTTTGTTTCTTTAATTTGGGCATAGGCTGGATTCCCCAGTTGTGCCCAGCTTCTTGGGATAAAGAGTAAGATCCAAGTTGTTTGGTTCGCATGTATAGGCTGGATGGCAGACTTTCAGCATTTTGACAAACCAATCCCAAAGTTAGGTGGTAGTGTAATGCAATCCCAGTAATGCTGCTGCTGTATTCACATAAACATAGGGGAGCAATTTGCATGGTCTACTGAAAACAGCCCTTTTAATAGATTAAGCAATTATGAAACATTTAGAAAAGAAGTAGGAATAGAAGAGAAGATATATTAAAAGTATGTTTAAAAAGTGGCTCATTGGAGCTTTCTTTCAATATTCCTTAGGCAATTTATTGGCATCAGGCCAGAATGAGGGGCAAACAGAGAAGTAAAAGATAAACTGCTCACTGGGTTTATTTTACTAAAGGGCTTACTTTCTTTTTAATTAATGAAGTTAAAAGGCAACCAGTGCCTCAGATTTTGCTGTGACAAACCTATGACTTCTCAACTAACAAAAAAATGATCCTGACACAAATAATAAGTATTCGGTTAGGCTCTAACTACTCTAAAAGGGAACAGCTTTTACAGTGTGGAAACAGATAACAATAAGACCTCGTGTCAAATCTATTCCTCTGTGTGTGAAGGTTCAGTAAAGTACTAATATATCCAATTAGATGTTCTAGAAAATACAGTTATAACATAGCATAATTTTCCAGACCCAATTTTTATCATTGTATGTATCTATACAGGATATTCATATAGGCATACAATGGCAAGTGGCAGGAAAAATGCTATTTGCAGGGTCCTTCCTTTACCCTGTCCTTTCCTACTCCTTGTTTTGGGTAGCTTTAGTTTTATTAAATCTTAGCAGCAGTAGGTGCGGACTTCTGCACTGAAGACACTTGACTACTAATTACAACTTCATACTTTAATTCCTAAAAAAGACACGGGCTATGACCTAACTTTATCTTACTGAACATTTTGTTGACATTCTTTTTATATTCTACTTTATCTACTTTTCCCCTCAGCTGTGTCAATTTATTCTTCTGTAGTTTTTCTAATATTCTTGTGCTAAACACTAGTGGACTTGGAAAGTCAGCAGGGGAAAGATGGAGGTCAGAGAAGGATGGATGATAGTAGACAACCATTTGTTATTAAAACCAAACAGAAAAATACAACAAGCACCGAGGCCTGTATCTCTATACATCCTTTCTACATTCAGTGGCTTCCTACTGATCTGCCAATCAAATTCAAGATGATGGGGTCAGGGGGAAGGGGACCAGCAAGAAAACCAAATTTTGCAAGGACTGCTTGTGTTCTACTCTAATCTTATTACACTTCTCAACAGTTTACGATGGCTTTCCAGTCTGTAAAAAAGCTCACTGAAGAACAAGTGTCCCCAAGGAGCCAAGGCAAGCTGGACTTATTTGTACAGATGAGAATTTTGGATTAGAATCTTGGTAACATTTTCTTATTCAGGCATTTTTGTTCATTTCCTACATAAAATTTCCACTGTAATTACTTTTAGACCTTTCCTGTACAATTCAACACAAGAACGAATGCTTAACAGACCTCCAAGCTCCAGTTGCTAGAGAAGGTGTATCTCAATATGGCTGTGCTTATCCACCTGCAATTTATCAAACTACCCGACACCTTTAAAAGCTCACTTAAAAGACACATGCTATAGCTGTTCTGCACTTGCAAAGCTACAGAATGTTTAAAAACACTAAATGAAGCATCATTAAAAAAAATCCTTTTGGTTCCACTTCAGTGGAACATGCATATTTCCCGATAACTTCTTTTTCTTGTAGCATTGCTGGAATATGTAAAAGCTAAGTACTACTACAGTTTGAAAAGTTTTATACATATCTTAGTGCTGCTAAGCAGTAAATCAATTAATTCCTTTGCAGAATTTGTAAACTTTATTATTATACTCTCATATTTCAACACTACTGCTCAGTGATTGCTTGACTTACACTTTAGAGCCAAGGGGGACACAAAATGCTGGAAGATTTCTGAGCCGTACTATGAGTATCACAAAACTTGAATTGCTGTGGTCGTATCTGTTAAAGAAAGGACAACATGAGGGAAGTTTCTTATTTGCATTTATGCGTGAAGAGAAATAATCCCTTTGCTGGTCACTTACCTGAGTCCTATTTGTACCTGGGCAGCCTCTAGAGCTGTTGCATCATCTTCACTGTATACAGTGTCCTCAATTTCATTTGGTCTAGGGCAAATGAGCAATACTCAAATTTAGGAAAATTAGTTAGCTTTCAGCAATAATTAAGGTATGTGTACACAGAATGTATATACACTCTCCTGAATAGGCTGATTTAATTACAGCATGCCCTCAAAATGGAATTTCAGAGCCTACAAAACAGTAATGCCTGTTTTAGGGACAGCTGCTGCCTGAACAGTTTGACAAATCCAGTAATGACTCAGGAAGGCCTTCGGCTGATTACTGAAGCAGGCTAGACTAACAGGCCAGAGAAAAACTCATGACATTTTCCTATACATACTTAGTATTTCTTTATTCCCCTGAATATAAAATTGGAAATTAAAGTTTCTAATAAACTTCAGACCACACGTAAAGTGGATATGAAATACTCCTTTGAGCAACATTTGAGAAGCAGAAGCTCTGTAGAGCAAAGAGGTTTCTACCCAAACATGAAGTATCTTTCCTCTGAGCCTGTTTTCAGGAGCATTCAAAGAACCAAAGGGACTCAAGTCTTGCAGCTGAAGAGCAACTCTAGCATTGAATGGAATTACAGATAATCCATGGGGCAAAATAATTTCCAGTCATTTTCTGGGAGGTTTGAGTGAGGATGTGGTATTAATGTGTTTCATTGATTTTAAAACTAGACTGCTGGGATCAATAAACAAGATCAAGATAGGAAATGTCAAGATAGGAAATGTGGAGAATGACACAGACATCCCACGCCTTATCAAGACATGACAGCATTATTTTTAAGACCTCTAAGTGCAGACACTTAGAGATTTCTTTTTTACTATTCATTTCTTGACTGATGGCTAAGTGGATAGGGTGTATTTATTTCCTGCCCTGCCTTAAATTACTCAATACAAAGGGCTGGTCTATACAGTAGAAATCACTGTACTGTAACTTCAGGAGCACACTGAAAAATTATAAATTAT